CCTTTCATTTCTGTTTGCAAAACAGCCAATTCATTCCCAAACTTGTCTCCTTAAATACCATGCCAAATAGTAAGAGCACACACTACTAATATTCTGTTTTCCAACTTCTTCCCCTACAGCATAAGTTTATTAGACATCTCTTCCACCTCCCAATTTACCCAGGTGACAGCCTGAATAAATTCATTGCCAGACATAACAGTATTCCTCTATCTTTCCAGCCTCCAATATCAGTTTCCTTGCTAGCTACTACCTAACTGCTAAGCTAAAGCCACACTTTTATTAGTTTCGTTATACAACACCCAACTCTCAATACCAACTGCTATATTAATTAGGATAGGCTAGGATGATACCCCAACATCTCAGTAGCTTAACACACTGAAAGGAACAGGGGAGAGGGTGAGGGCCGGGAGAGAGAGAGAAAAAAAGAGAGCAAGAGAGAGATTGTAGGAGGGAGAGAAAAAGGGAGAGTGAACCCATTTTTCTTTATGTTTCACATGGTCACCCAGAGACCATGCTGGGAGGTATCACCAATTGAATTTTCACTGATCATAGCAAAGAAAGAGTCAATGGGAGGGTCAAACACCAACTCCTGTCTGTTTAGGCTTGAAAAAGAATAATTTGACTCCCGCTCATAGCAAGAGACTTGGAATGTTTGCTGATCACCACTGCCTCTACAAGATTTTATAGTTTTATTCACACAGATCCTATACTTTTCCTGTTAAATTTAATCCTGAATATTTTCTTGATCCCTAATTTCTTGACATATATGAAATTCAAGGAAAAAAAGATGTGATACATTTTACTTTTACAAATGTATTTATTTTTACCTAATCTTGATATGCAATGTTATGAGAGGTAGTATAGTATATAAGAATAGGTTTAGAAACCTTATCAATTCTGGTTTGGATCTCAGTGAAATTACATACTATCCTTCTGTCCCTATGTCTTCGGACAAGCTACCGAGCTTCTCTAAGCTGCAGTTTCCTCATTTTCAAAACGAGGACAATATTTATTTCTTTTTTTTTTTAAGATTTTATTTATTTATTTTTAGAGAGGGAAGGGAGGGAGGGAGGGAGGGAGAGAGAGAGAGAGAGAAACATCAATGTGCAGTTGCTGGGGGTTCTGGCCTGCAACCCAGGAATGTACCCTGGCTGGGAATCGAACCTGGGACACTTTGGTTCCCAGCCCACGCTCAATCCACTGAGCTACGCCAGCCAGGGCAGGACAATATTTATTTCAAAAAATACTTTGAGAATTAAAGAAAATAAGATAGGTAAAGGGATTACAATGTATCTGATTGGTAAAGTCCCCAATTATTAGTATTTTATATATTACATTATCCTTCAAATGATATATTTACACTACTTACATGCAAAAGGATTTTATATAGTAAAGCATCCACCTATACCATCAAAAAAATGTTCTCTCTGGCTTCAAACTATATTACAAAACTATAGTAATCAAAACAATATGGTCATGAAAAAAACAGACCCACAGATCAATGGAATAGAATAGAGTCCTAAATGGACACACATATATAGTCAATTAATTTACAACAAAGGAGAATATAAAATGGGGAAAGAACTGTCTCTTCAATAAACAGTGCTGGGAAAACTGGACAGCCACATGTAACAGAATGAAACTGAACCACTATTTTACACCATATACAAAGATTAACTCAAAATGGATTAAAGACTTGAAAGACCTAAAAACATAAAAATTTTGGAAGAAAACATAGGTAGTAAGTTGCTTAACACTGGTCTTGATGATGAATTTTTAAAATTTAACACCAAAAGCAAAAATAAACAAGTGGGACTACATCAAATTAGAAAGGTTCTGTAGAGCAAAGGAAACCATCAACAAAATGACAAGTCAACCTATGCCATTTGTGGGTGTTGATAAACACAGAGAGAGCTTTGTGAGACCTCTGGCACAATGCAATGATCCAAGGTGGTGGGAAGTTGCCTGCCCACCTGCAATGCCTCACACCGTCCCCCTCTATCACAGGAGCACCTGCGCACCTCACCATGTCTTCCCCAAGTCTCACTTCTGGTACTTGTGTCTCTGCTGAAGAAGATAAAGAAGTCCTCAGGGGAAATCATCTCCTGCTGGCAAGTACTTGATAATTCCCTGCTTTAGGTGAGGAACTCTAGCATCTGGCTGAGCTAGGACTCCCACAGCAGCACCCACAGCATGTACTGAGAGTACCAAGGCCTGGCCACTGATCAGCAAGTCAAGCAGTTCCACAACTCCACCGTCAGGTTGCCACTGCCCCACTGGATCCTCCATCACCAGCACAAGTGTTACCAGCACAAGCCAAGCCTTACCACTAAGAGATCCAGCACCTTCTTTTAGATGCTGGGCCTCCTTGTCCCCTGTTCTGTCCAAATAAACTCCTTGGGAAAACCAGGGGGGGGGGAAAGACAATATACTGAGTGGGAGAAAATATTTTGCAAATCATATATCTGATAAAGTGTTAATATCCAAAATACATAAAGAACTCATACAACTCAATAGCAAAAAAAATCCAATTAAAAAATGGGCAGAGGATCCGAACAGACATTTTCTAAAGACACATAATTGGTCAACAGGCACATGAAAAGACACTCAGCATCCCTAATCATCAGGGAAATGTAAGTTAAAACCACAGTGAGGTCTGACCAGTGAGGCTCAGTTGGGCATCATCCTGTAAAGCGATAGGTCACCAGCTCAATTCCTGGTAAGGGCACATGCCAGGGTTGTGGGTTTGGTCCTAGTCAGGGCACATACCAGAGGCAACCAACTGATGTTTCTCTCTCGCATCAATGTTCCTCTCCCTCCCTCCCTCCCTTCCCTGCTCTTTAAAATAAATAAATAAATAATAAACTTTTATTCTAAAAAAACAAATTAAAAATTTAAAAGAAACACAATGCGATAGCACTTCACACCTGTTAGAATGGCTATCACCAAAAAGATAAGAGATAAATGCTGGTGAGGATGTAGAGAAAAGGGTACCCTTGTGCACTCTTAGTAGAAATGCAAATTGGTGCAGCCACTATGAAAAACAGTATTATTACAGGGTGCAGCCAAGAGGGCGGCCCCAAATAGGGATTTGAAATGGGGTCTAGAACTCAAGGTGTTCAGGAAATATTAGGATGTCCTCACCACCCCCCACCACAGGTATGGGTTGGGGGAAGGGACACATGGAGCAGGGCCATTGAGAGCTGTTTTGCATAGCAACAGCCTTGCAGCTAACCTCTGGCATGGTCATTTAACATATCTATAACCTTTAACTGGTTACATAGATAAGTTAAATAGCTGTGGCCATGCTCTGAGCCAGGGGAATGGAAGTAACTTCCCCACCAAGACATAACTAGGGGGCAGGTCCCCCTGAGTTACAGCACCTGCATGGGAGCTTGGAGAAGACTGGCTCCAGGACATGGGGCCATGCCTACCCAGAGTCATAATGGCAGCCCAGTAAAGCTGGAGGGATATGAGAGTCCTGGCAAGTGTAGCCAATTGTGGGAGGAGTCAGAAATGGGGCTGCAGAGGAAGATTGGCGCGGAGATTTAAACCCAGATGTGGCAGCCATTGAGGAGAGAACCACTCGGTCTTTAGTGGAGTGAGGACTTCTGCAGCCCTGAGAGAGAGAATCACCATGTGGCTTTAGCAGAGAACCACCACTCGGCTTTGGCAGAGTGTCGACCTCCCTTCTTGCAGCCATTGAGGAGGGAAAACCATGCGGTTTTGGCTAAGTGGAGATTCCAACGGCCTTTGTGCTGAGAGGACCACGTGGCTGGGACAGTAGAGAGAGAACCTCGCAGCTTTGCCAGAGTGGGGACCCCTGCAGCTTCAGAAGGGGGAACCACCACCCGGCTTTAGCAGAGGTCCCAGCAACACAGCTGATGGTGTTGGGAACCGAGGGAGGCCTACCAGCTGAGATGGATTACTGGGAAGAACCCGGGACTGCCTGAGCTGTGGACTTCCATTTCTTTTCCTGAGATATGGTATCCAGACTAGGCAAAGGGGTAAGGAAGGACTGTGTGTGTTTGTGGGTGTTTTAAAGGACTCTGGGATTTTGATGAAGACATTAGGTCACTACTTTAAGTCTGTATAGCATTAAATAAACAAACATTTCCTTTCCTTTTCACAAATCCCTGGCATTGAGAGATGTCTTTCCTATAAGGCAGTGGACATAAGGAACATGAGGGGTTCCTTTCAGTAATAGGATATTGCCCCCAGCCCTCTTTGGCCCCCTTGTTGTTCTGTAACAGTATGGAGGTTCCTCAAAAAATTTAAAAGAGAACTACCATATGACCCAACAATTCCACTTCTCAGTATTTATTTGAAGAAAACAAAAACACACTCAAAAAGATGTCTGCAACCCATTTTCACTGCAGCATTATTTACAATAGCCAAGATATGAAAACAACCTGAATGTTCATGGACAGATGAGCGAACAAAGAAGATGCGGCATATAAATACAATGAAATATTATTCAGCCATAAAGAAGACCCATTTGTGATAACATGGATGGACCTCAAGGCCATTATGCTGAGTAAGTCAGACAGAAAAAGACAAATATCAGATGATCTCATTTATATGTGGAATTAAAAAAAAAAGTTCATAGATTCAGAGAAGAGATTGGTACCAAAGGCTGAGGATGGAGTGGTGGGAAAAATGGGTGAAGGGAGTGAAAAGGAACAAAATTCCAGTATAAAATAAGTCATGGGGATACAATGTGCAGCATAATGACTATAGTTAATACTGTATTGCATATTTGAAAGTTGCTAAGTAGATTTTAAAAGTTATCATCACAACAAAAAAAATTCTGTAGCCATATATGTAATAGATATAATCAGACTTATTGTGGTGACCATTTCACAATATACAAACATCAAATTGTTGTACATCTGAAAATAACAACGCAATATGTTGATTAGATCTTAAGTTAAAATAAAAACAATCTAAAAGCATTTACCCAGTTAAAAAGAAAGTATTTGAGAATTTAAGTGACTTACCTTGAACTATAATCATCTTCCTCTTCATATGATTTAACATGTGCTGAAATAGGCCGAGATCGTAGTTCTTGCTGATCTCTCTAGTTAAATGAGTAAAGATAAGTCACATAGGAAAAAAACCCCACAAAAGTAGGATTTATTCAAGTGCCTTTCTGATCATTCATCATTTTAGAGCTGTTTCACAGTTTCCATGAAATCAAAGCACAGAATTCTAAATTCTATGGTATGAAAATAAGGTCTGTTACAATGTAGTTTTAATGTGGTTTCACCTTTCATCCATTCTGGGTTAAGAAAGCCAATTCTAAGGGAAAACTTCTATAGCCAATTCTAAAGGTCAATGCCATTACATGATCTCATCCGATTCCTGCTTCCACACTACATTAGAGTCTTCCATCTTGTGTAACATGCAAAGGAAATTAGACTCACATGAAACGGAAACATAAATCTGTTTAATGGTTAGAAAAACTTATCACAAATCACACAAAGCTTCAATGTTAAGAATATCACAAAAAGGTTAAAAAAGAAGCACTAAGAGTAAAACCTTTTGGCAAAGATATATCAAGAAATGAAAGTCAGTAAACAAATACTCAACATGGCAAATATTAAATCCATTAGCTTCCATGGGGGCAGGAATGCCTTCTTCCCTTTCCCAGCCCTTCTCAGTTTTCTACTATACCTTAAATAAATAAATATTTATTAGCAGACTCTTGGAGCACAATACCTAATGAATCCTTCATTCTACTATAACTTTGGATTTCCTCCTTCAAGTATTTTCTGGCTCATCGGACACTGGCAAAAACTAAAAGATGTAATAAAAATATTTCTTTTTCAGTGAAATATTTAATTACAAATGCAACCAGGAAATCTGTAACCATTATGTAAATATATTACCTGAAATGTGTTTTTTATATATTCTAAACTATAAATAATGATGAATCTGTACAAGGCCTTAAAATAAAATACTGCCTCTTCTTCCCTGCCCCCATGAAGTCCAATATGGGGTGAAGGGTGAGGTTTAAAAGAAAGAATTATAATTAAATTAGAGTAAGAACTAAAGAAAGTCTGAAAGCAAGCCACATTATTCCTCTAAGGAATGCTACTATATACTATCAATTAATAATGAGAATGCTGATGCTAAAAGCTGGATGCTTACAACAGGAATAACCACTCTGGTATTCAGATTGGGGCAAATACTCTTACATTGTCTAGTGTTATAACCTCACTACATTCTTCCTAACTATAAATCTAATTATGCTCTAGCCTCAAGATCTAAGTTATAACCAACTACAGAATTTAAGAGACAAATTACCATGTGATGACTGTTATCCTTTATCCAACTTTTGTCCAGAGACCATTTTCCTTCTTTCCTTATTCAATTACCACTGCTAATTCTACACAGCTACACTCATATATTAATCTTCAACTAGTGGGAAAGATTGTTAAATATTACCGTTCTTATTAGATGACTGGCCACCTAAATAGAAAACATCTTCAGTGGCTTTTAGAAAACGTGTTTTTATCAAAAACACATGTACAAATACACCCCCTACTATACATATATTCATGTTCAATTTGTGATAATTTGATGAGCTGAACATTTATGCTTTGTACATTTTTGTATGTATGTTATAAATCAAATTAAAAGTTAAAAAATATAGCACTTACATGAAATTACTAACATTTACTTACTATTGCTTCCTCAGCTTGTCGAACCAGATCAGCTGTTTTTGCCTCCAATTCTGCGTTTAAACGCCTAAAAGCAGAAAATAATTTACTAATTGGGATGTGCTGAAGATCCTAAAAAAATACAAGTAATTAAATTTCAGTAACTATACTTTAGCTAATCAACAAATTTCAAAACAAACACTTTATTCTAAAATTAACCTAACTATTAGAACACTTATCTCCAACTCCCCATGATTATTCCTTATTATTATTATTATTATTATATTACTATTATTATTATTTTGGTAGAATTCCAACAGTGTAACTCCTGGCTTCTCTCTGACCCTCACTTCAGGTGGAAGGACTTCTTTGGGAATGACAAACTGGTGGGAATAAATCCCACTCCTCAGCTTCTTGGGATGAACTCCACCTGGGGACAGGAGTGGGGCAGGGTAGCAGAGAGGCCTGCTTTGGTCTGGGGGTGTTGCTGAGACATTTTAATCATCTTCCCTTCTATTTTTCACCTATAGCATATACATAATTTTGTATTATGTTTTCCCATAACAAATTGAAGATACATATTTCTCTCTTTATAATTAGTGCCTTAAATGGATATAAAATACTCTAACAGATGAAGGTAACATAATGTATTAATCTATTCCTATTGTTAGTTCAAGTCCCTTTTCACTTTTAAAAGTAACACTATAATAAACATTCAAAAGTATGTAACTTTTTTATTCTATTCATAAAATAAAATTTTAAAAATGTCTAGACCATCTAGGATCTTTTGAAGTTATATGAAGAAAATATGTTGAGCAATTTTAAAAATGAGATATTTTGTTATTTTATTAGATATGTGATTCAGAAGTAACACAAACCACTTGCAACATTACTCACCCCCCAAAAAAGAAAATCAGTAGCATATCTCTTCTTAAAACAGTCCAATGTTTTAGGAAATATTTTTATATCTTAGGATGAGTTAAACAAAAGAAAACTATCTAATAAAGACTTAAAGTCCCATTTAAGACAGCATATCTGAGGTTTCACATTTCTCTAACAAGAACCACTAGAAGCTTCTGGTCAGTATAGTAGACCAAGATGCCTCAAAAGGCTTTTCTTCTACTCAAAAACCATGGAAATACTGGATATAATATAATGAAGGATATACTGCTAAGTTCACATTCAGGTGAGAGAAATATCTTGGCACCAAAACTAAAGCAGCAACTAAAAGTGAGAACAGTTAACAGGAACAAAAGATGAAACAGCTTAACAGCTAAAATATGATACTGTGTGGGAGTCATGAAGAGCCACACCTGTTAAACACAAACAAAAACACTAACCATAACCTCAGGTGAGCAGAAATGAAACTACAGCGATAGGTGAAAAAGAATCTCTTGTTGAGTAGTGAGAACATACAGGAATGTGGTCCAAGTTCATCCTACCCAGATGCTATAGAAATTTTATGCCAAAACTTTAATACAGAAAGTTGCCCTAACCAGTGAAAAAACTGATAAGCTAAATGCAAAACCACCCTTAAGGACATTTACTCATCTATAAGATATACAACACTCTCAGGAAGTAAACCCTGCTAAAGATGACTCCACAAAGATAACAAATTACATAAAGAAATAAGTCACCAAGAGGCAGAATCAGCATATGCAACAAAATTTGTATGAGAACTGAAAATAATAAAACAATCTTAAAAGGATGTTTAAATAAGCATTTTTACTTAAAAAAAAAACAAAGAATAGACACCAGTAGGTAAGAACCAGACATTATTGTAAAAGAACATTGAATATGGAAAAGAACCAAATAGAAATTACATAAATGAAAACAGTCATCAAAATTAAAAATTCAAACTCAATGGATAAGTTGAACAATAGAATGAACTAAAAGGGAAATAGTTGAATTAGAAGACAGATATGAGGAAATCACCTGAAAGGAGGTACACAAAGAAAGTTAAAAATATGAAAGAAAGGTTAACATCCATTAAAGACAGCCTATTTGACAAAAACAGATTTATACCTACCTAATAGAAGGTACAGAAGGAAACCCCAGATGAGGATGGAATGTCAATATTTGAAGATATAATGCTGAGAATTTTCCAGACACGACAAGATGTAGATCTTGAGCAGAATTAAGAAAACTAATGTACATCTGTGCACATCATAGTAAGACTGCAGAATTTCCAAGACAAAGAGAATATTCTTTAAACTACCAGAGCAAATATTTAATAAGAACAGATAGTCTATCTGCCTGATTATCTAAAAAGCTGATAGTAGATGGCTCATCAACATCTCTACATTCCAATGGACAATGAAATGGTATCTTTAATGAACTGTGTGGGGGAAAATACTGGCCATCTAGAATTCTATGTTCAGCAAAACTGTCTTTGAAGAATAAGTGCAGAGTAAAAAATTTTTCAGAAAAGACAAGTTTAAGACTCAAATTTTCACAAAGAGAAGTAATGAAGGGTCTACCCTTCAGGAAGAAAAAAATTAAACCTGGAAAACAGGAAGAATCATGATGAGCAAAGAAATTAGAAAACACAATGATAACTCTAAATTAGCACAGACTATAAAAATAACAGGAGTATTCAAAACAAAAGGAAGTAAAATATCTAATAATATCTAACTTAACCTGCTGGGGGAAACCAAACTAAAGCAGTCTAAGCTCTTTCCAAAACAGTAAAAGAAAAATAAAGAAAATATAAGCTCATTGAATACAACAGATGACAGAAGAACCAAAAAAATAAGCATAATAAATATAAAACAAAAAATATTATGGCCAAACAACTTCAAATTAACAAACATAATAATATAAATAATTCACTTATTAGCAGAAATTATCAGACTCAATATAAACGGAATACTCTCTTAAAGCTAAATGACGTAAGTCTGAATATAAAGGAATGAATACAGATATAATAGACATTACATAACAATGAAAGGAATAATTTATCTCTAGAAGATTTAAATAAATCAAATAATATATCCCCCAAAACAAATAATGGATACACTTACATAAATAGTTATTCTTCAATTATAGTTACAGTTGATTTTAATACATCTCTAACAGAAACCAATGCAGCTAGTAGAAAAAAAAAATGGTGATATACTGTTATGGACATGAAAATTAATTAGCTTGACTTAACAGATGGTCAACAAATAGTTATATATTTTCTTTTTTTAAAGATTTTATTTATTTTTTAGAGAGAGGGAAAGGAAGGGAGAAAGAGAAGGAAAGAAATAGTAATTGGTTGCCTCTCACAAGCCCCTAACTTGGGACCTGACCCACAACCCAGGCACGTGCCCTGACTGGGAATCGAACCAGCAACCTTTCAGTTCTCACACCAGCACTCAGTCCACTGAGCCATACCAGCCAGGGCAGATATACACTTTCTATCAAAGAATATTAAAAAGTGAACTATACTGCTTTAACTTGGTTTCCCCTGAATTTGTATTGTACTTGACCACAACTAAGTTTCAATACATTTCTGAAAATCAATGTTATATACCTTCTATAAATGACTATAATGCAATTAAAATAATATAACTAAAATAAAAAACATGTTTAGAAACTAAAAACACACTTTTTAAATAATCAACATGAAAATCATAAAAAATTTAAAACTATTAAACTATGACAAAAGAAATACATAAAACAGGTACTGCAATACAGAGAGAGTTGGAGAGAAATTTACAGAAATTAAATGCACTTACTAAAAAATAATAAAAACAGCCCTGGCCAGTGTGGCTCAGTGGATTGAGTGCCAATCTGTGAACCAAAGGGTCACCAGCAGTTCAATTCCCAGTTAGGTCACATGCCTGGGTTGTGCACCAGGTCCCCAGTGGGGGATGAGAGAGGTAACCACACACTGATGTTTCTCTACCTCTCTTCTTCTCTCTCAAAATAAATAAATAAATAATTTTTAAAAAATCATAACCAAGATAAAGATGTTCACCACCACTCTTTCTATTCTATATTGAACTAGAGGTTCTAACTAGATCGAGGGGGAAAAATACATGAAAAATTGTAAAGGGAAAAAACAATCACAACTTGCATATGATGTAACTGTGTTTATGAAAAATCCAAGGAACTCTACAGATTGAATAAAAGTTAAGCAGAGAGGTTGATGGTGACTCACATATGGAGCCAGCCTGCCAACTCTGTAGGGGAAGGGCTCAGAAAAGGAACAATGACCTCCGCCAGCACTGCTGTCTGAGAGAAAGCTGCCCCTCCAGGTCTTGCCCTGATGCCAGACACTTCAGTTCCTTCTCATGTGCCCCTGGTGCCTTTCCAGTGCTCTGCTATCCCACTGCTGGAACTCCCAGTGAATCTGACTTTTTCAGTCCCAAGAAGCATCTGAAGGCATGTAGCAGCTCTGAAGCAAGGTCTGAACTGATATAATCTACTCTGTTGGTTTTATGGATATCATCAGGGAGACCAGAAACAACTTCTACCTGATCTATGACACCAAGGGTTGCTTTGCTGTTCATTATATTATACCTGAGAAGGCCACATACAGGTTGTACAGAGTGAGAAGATCTTTGTGGGCCCAAAAGAAATCTCTCATCTGGTTACTCATGATGTTCACACCATCTGCCACCCTGATTTCCCCATCAAGATTAACGACACAATTCAAACTGATTTGGAGACTGTGTACAGCGGTAGCCAGAGGTGCTCACCCAAAGAATTGGTGTGATCACCAACAGACAGAAACATTCTGATTCTTTTAATGTGGTTCATGCAAAAGATTTCAAAGGCAATAGCTTTGCCACCCAGTTCTCCCACATCTTTATCACTGGCAAAGATAATTTCTCTTCACCAAGGAAATAGGTATCTGCCTCACTAATGCTGAAGATAGGGACAAGAGACTGGCAACCAAAATGAGCAATGGATAAAATAATCTATAGGTAACATAATAGGGAAAGCTTTTTAACTTAAAGATAATATGGAATGAAAATAAAATACTCCATCTAACAACCACAGAATACACATCCTTTCTTGGGAACCTCCCTGCCTGGTTTCAGAAGCTATAACCCCTCATGGCTAAGGCTTAGTGAGAGACCTTGGGACCCTAAGCCACTAAGGAGACACAGCTTATCTACCTGGCAGGGGCACTGCCTCTACCCCTTTTACTTCACCCTGCTTGGCCTCAAGCCTGACCAGTTAGCCAATGATGGGTAAGATTCCTCAAGGGAGGGATGACCTAAGACAGGCATGGTCACAAGAGAGCCCTCAGAGAAGGACTTGGGGAACTACCAAAAAAGGGGGTGATGGACCCTCACCCCTCAGCTTTGACATAGCCTGAGTCCCCATTCTGTCTGCAAGAAGTCTCCTAACCTCTGGACTGCCTTACTTCCCCTGCCTGACTTAACCCTGGAACAATGCCAGAGGTGGGTGTGGCCCTGTGCTGGGAAAGGTGAGTTACCTGGGACGATCAGGCCTAAGAAAGAACCCGTAAAAATCCTGTGAAACTTGCTTTGCTAAGAATGCTCTCAATTTTCTGATAAGGGTCTGAAACTTTGTTTCCCAAAGTTTTATAGCCCTTTAGCTATCTGACCCTGACTCAGAATAAGCCCTCATAGTTCTTTCAGTGTTATCTATTGTTTGATCCTTACTGCCTGACAAATGATTGCTGAGCTTTACCCGTATACCTGTGTAAATTGAACCCAATAAAAGCCCAATGAGGAAAAGGCTCTTGGTACTTCTCCTTGGAGAGATCCGCCACCTTTCCTCCTCAAGCAGATCATGTCTTAGTAGACTTATTCTCATCTGTGGAGGCCAGGGGAGCCTGTGGGCAGGGTCCCCCCTCTCCCCTCCCCGCCCGCACCCCCACAATCCTTCTCAAGCTTGAATGGAGCATTCACTAATATAGACCATTTTGTAGTCCATAAAATACATCTTACAATTTTAAAAGAGTAGAAATCACATAAAGTATGTTCACATACCATAATTGAATTTAATTAGACACCAAAACCAGAAAGATAACTAAAAATTGCTAAATATTTTGAGATTAAACAAAAAACATAATTCTTGGGTCAAAAGAAAGGAAATCTAAAAATATATTTAACTAAATGAAAATGAAAATACAATTGTAAAAATGTGTGGGGTGCAGTAAAGGCAAAGCTTAGAGAGAAATTTATAACATTACATGCATATATTAGAAAAGAAGAAAAATCTAAAACCCATAATCTAAGCTTCCATGGTAGGAAAGCAGCAAATGAAGAACAATTTAAGCCTAAAGGAAGTAGAAGAAAAAAAGTAATAAAAATTGAAGCAGAAATCAGTAAAATTTAAAACAGAAAAACAATAGAGAAAATCAATGAAACCAAAGCTAATTTTTTGAAAACATAAAAAAATTTATAAAATTCTAGCTAGGCTAACAAAGAAAGAAAGAGAGAACACACAAAATACTAACATTACAAATTAAAGAAAAACCATCACTACTGATCCCATGGCCTATAGAATAATGAAAGGAATACTATGAACAACTTTATGTGCTCAAATGTGATTGACTTAGATGAAATAGATCAATTCCTTGAAAGATACAATCAAACTCACACATGGAGAAACAGATAATATGAAAAAGCCTGTATCTATTAAAGTAATTAATTCAATAATTATAAAACTTCCAAAGCAGAAAGCACAAGACCAGACACTTTAACTGGTGAACCACACCAAATATTTAAGAAGGAAATGATACCAATACTGTAGAATCTCTCCCAGAGACTAGAAGCAGAAGGAATATTTCCTAACTAATTCTATGAGGCCAGAATAAAGATAATACCAAAACTAGACAAAGACATTACAAGAAAAGTACAGATCAGTACCATGAAATAGATGCAAAGATCCTTAACAAAATGTTAGTAAATGAAATCCAACAATGCATAAAAAGAATCATATACCATGAACAAGCAGGATTTACTCCAAGTATGCAAGGCTGGTTCAACATTCAAAATCAATTAATGTAATCATCACATTAACAAACTAAAAAAAGAAAATCATATAAATTAATGCAGAAAAAGCATTTGAAAAAAGCCAATATTCATTCATGATTTTTAAAAAAACCTCCAAGAGAGGACTCTAAGAAGCTTTTGACTGCTTTTCCCCAGACTTCCCTCCATGCACCTTTTCCCATTGCTGATTTTGGTTTGTACCCTTTCACTGTAACAACAGCCATGACACAACTTAAAAAAAAAAAGAAAAGAAAAAGGTAAGCAGAGCTGATGATCTGTATCTATATAGACAGGTATTAGGATCAATATAGAAAAGTCAATGTTCCTACATATCTGGCCAATTAGAAAATATAGTAGGGGAAAAAAGCCATTCATATAGTAACAAAACCTATGAGGATCCTGAAAAATTATATAGGTAAGACTTTTATGTAGTAATATGATAAAATACTATTAACAGACACCAAAACACCCATATGTAAATGGAGATGTACCATATTTGTGGAAAGGAAGATTCAATAGCATAAAGATGTCAGTTCTCTGCAAATTAATCTGTAAATACAATGTAACTGGCATTACAGGCAGGAGGTTGGTAGGTGGGGGGTGTTGTGGAGGTCTGCCCTACCAGTTATCAAGACCAATTAAAACAAATGTCATATAATCTTATTTGTTTAGCTCTCTGGTTTAATGATATATACATGAAGCCTGTAAAATCTATTGACTTTGATGATCAGCGTGTTCCCTAATCTATCCCCTCAGGGATTATCTCCTCCAATTCTGGATTGAAATCCCTGGGAAGTCCTGTGTTTAGCTAATTCAAAAGACATCACAATATGCTTACCATCAAAATAATAAGTGGCAAAATACTGTGCTATGAATTCATATTCTTGCGTATAAAAATGACCAAAGACAAACACCATGATTTCACTTCTGTGTTGGAATCCAAAAAAAAAAAAAGAGAAAACAAAACAAACCAACAAACAAAAACTCATAGATGCGAAGAGCAGATAGGCAGGAGCTGGGAGAGAGTGATTAAGACTTACAGTGGTGATCAATGTAATGTATACAAATAATGAATCATAATATTGGACATCTGAAATACATATAATATTGTATACCAATTTTACCACAATAAAAAAAAAGAATAGCCAGACATTTTACTCTTCTCCATGGTGCAAAAGTGATGTACAAGCTTCAGTCAGAGCTTAAAACTACTCTGTTGAAATGCCTCTAATTTGTACACTGCAGAGTACAGGTTACAAAATGAGTAACACCTGGTTGCCTTTACCACAAAACAACTTTTGCTAAAATAGAATAGTTCCTGTAGATGCCTGCCTTTAAGCAGGACCATATCCCTAATGACAGCCAGAGCCAGGTGCAAAATATACCCTTAAATAAACAAACAAATTAACCTAAACAATACACCTGGTTAGTGCTATCTGGTGTATGGTGATAAAAATAACTGTTTTAGGTTGAGCACAGTTGATTCAGAATTGTATATGGACATGGACAACAGATCTGTTGCTTAAATACAGTCCTCATGGGAATAACAGACCCATTTCATCGGATAGGAATGATTATGTTTCTACATGCTATGGCAAAGGGGCATGTGTCTCATTCATCTAAAGAGAGTACATATCAGTTTTAACTTTAAATATGCTTTTAATTTGAAGTACAAATTACATGGTAAGTCTTTTTAACTATTTAAAGAACTGCCAGAATGTGTTCCAAATTTTAAATTAAATTAGTTTAGAAAGACAGTGAACTGTTAAAATACAAATTTTTTGTAAGCATATATACAATGGTAAATAAAAGACATGCTCTTAGACCTTGTCGGATTCATCATCCAACGGCAGGAAAAAACAAAAAGTAAACTAACAAACTAATTTTTTGTAACGTTACGCTAAATGCAAAGAAAAATGAGTAAACCCATAAAAAAAGAGTAACAGAAGAACCTATTTAGCATAGTCAAGGAAGGCCACTCTGAGCGTGACACGTAAAAGGCCTGTGTGACTGACGGCCTTCAAGGAAAGAGAAGGGAAAGGCTCCAGGAACTGAAGGGTCAGTTAGGCTGGAGAGAGCACAAGATCCAACAAGACGCAGGAGCCAGATCTGACAGAGCTTTTAAACTTCAACATGAAACCACTACAAAGTTTTAGGCAAGGAAATGACATGATCAAATTAAAAGATTACTCTTGGCATCTGTGTGAAAACTGAGGCATGAAGAGTGAAATCGTCCAAGAATGAAAGCCCATGGTGTCAGGATAGTTTGTAATTTCGCTCATCAGATAAAGAAAGGAAATCCTTCCAACTTCACCAAATGTGGGCAAGAAGAGTAATTCCAAATGCCCTGAGAAATAGGCTTTCAATTTAGAAACAAAGCCTAAAAGAAATTTACAGACATAAACTCGAGGAAGTTGGAACTACATGGAATTCCTTAAACTAGAAACTGCACTACTCGTGGAAATTCCTGCTATCAAAACCACGTCTAACAATACCATCTTACTGATGAACAGTTTCGCTTGGGTTAAATTAAATTTTCACCCACTTCAAACGCCTAGGACGAAGGCGAGCTCAAGATGGAAGAGACTGCTGAGCAGTGCGTGGTCCCAAGGACCCAGCCACGGGTAACAGTACTTGTAAGCAGTCTCACTTAAGTAAAAGAAATAGGGAAAAGGTGAACCGTCAAATTTCTTACTTATATTCTTCCTCCTTGGCGAGGAAGTCTCGTCGAGGTTTAGCAGGTTGCTGAATGCGTGGCGGGAGTGGAGTCCCTGAAACAGTCCGTCTCTGTAAAACAGACAGAGACTTTCAGACCCCAAGTTAAGAGAGATTCAGCGTCCCTGCCGCCTCGCCACCGCCTCCTCCAAACCTATTTGGTCCCACGAGTTTGGAGTTGAACTGACCCTGAGCCCAAGACCTCGCCCCGCCATCTTTCACGACCAAGACGCCGTTACCGAGGCAACGACGTAACTTACCGCGAGAGCTACCTTATCTCGGGCATCCTGACGCCCCAGGCGTGTACTGCACTCACTGAGGCGCTCTTAACCCAGAGCCGAGGGAGGGCTGGACCAGGTACCTGTCGCCGGCGTTTTGACCTCTATTCCTCTCCGCAAGTTCAACGCTAACAACACCCCGCGCTGCCTCGAACCTAAGAAGCCAATGTGCTGCATTGACTAACAAACTCTCAAGTGGCGGGGCAAGGGGGATTGACCGTGATAAGACCTTAATAGGACTTGGGTGACGCAAAGACACTTTTTGGGATAATAGAAAAGGGATAATAGAAAAAATTTATATTTTGATTGTACTGGTAGTTGTATAATGTATAAATTTGTTAAAAATCAACAAATTGTACATTTAAAGTTGTATTTTATTGTGGATGAATAAGACTTCAATAAAGTTTACTTTTTAGAACGACAAAAATAAGTAAATTCTTAAGTTAGCATGGAGGGGTTTCAACTAAAGAAGTCGGGTCCATTTCTCATACTTGGTGGGAGCAAGATAGGAAAGCCCCTATTCTGCTGTGTTTCTCAAAAGTTAGTGACCAATGCGGCCTCCCCCGTTTTGTTTAAAATGAACTCGTCAGCGGAATTCTAAGTTCTGGTTTCTTACAATTATTTATAGCATGTGTCAGAGCTCAGACTCTCAAGTCATTAGGCCTAAGTTTATGTCCTGGTTGTGTTACTTACTAGCCATGCAGTCTTGGACAAAGCACTCTGTATCTCAACTACTTCATCTGTAAAACGGTAGTAAGAATAGTGCCCATCTCAGTTGATATGAGGAATAAATGAAATGTACTTAGGCTTGTGCCTGGAACACAGTAAACAGTCAAAGTTCCAATTGGGGGGTAATAAACTCCAGAGTAAACCTTCACATTTAGGGTCAACTAATCTTCAGCTAACACTGTTGTATGGGAAAGAATAGTCTTTTCAACAAATGGTACTATGATAAATAGACGTCCACGTGTAAAAGAATGAAGTTGGACCCTTATCTTACACTGTGTACAAAAACTGACTCAAAATGGACCAAAAGCCTAACTTTAAGAGCCAAAATTATAAAGCTCTTTGAAGAAAACATAAGTATAAATTTTCCACCATTTTGAGTTAGGTAATGATTTATTCAATGTGACACCAAAAAAAAAAAAACCAAACCCACAACAAAATTAAAACATTTGTTTCAAAGGATACCATAAATAAAGTGAAAGGACAGACTACATAAGGGGCAGAAATTTTTAAAAATCTTATGTTTGATAAGAGACTTACGTCTAAAATATGTAAAGAGCTACTAAAACTCAAAAAGATAAATAACCCAAGTAATTTTGGGGTAAGCGTCATGGATAGGCATTACTCCAAAGGTATATAAATAACCAAAAACACATGAAAAGTTGCTCAATCTCATTAGTCTTCAAGGAAATGAAAATCAAAATCATAGCGAGATACCACTTCATACTCACCAAGATGACTATACAGTAATCAAAAAAGACAGGCACTAACAGGTGTTGGGGAGGATATGCAGAAATTCAAACTTTCATATACTGTTGATGGGAACATAAAATTATGCAGGCACTGTAGAAAACAGTCTGGTAATTCCTCAAAAGTTTTCACATAGAGTTAAAACATGACCTAACAACCTACCCCTAGGTAAATACCTGAGAAAAATGAAAACTTATTCCCCATACAAAAAGTTGTACACAGCCCTGGCTGGTGTGGCTCAGTTAATTGAGTGCAGGCCAGTGAACCAAAGGGTCGCTGGTTTGATTCCCAGTCAGGGCATATGCCTGGGTTGCAGGCCAGGTCCCCAGTAGGGGGCACTTGAGAGGCAACCACACATTGATGTTTCTTTCTCCTTCCCTTCCCTTCTCTCTAAAAATAAATAAATAAAATCTTTTTTAAAAGTTGTACACAAATATTTATAGCAGCATTGTTCAGAATAGCCAAGATGTGAAAATAACCAATCATAAACTATAATGGGTAAATAAAAAGTGGTATATTCATACAACAGAATATTATTCAGCAACAAAAAGGAATAAAGTACTGACAATACTACAATATGAATAAAACTTTGAGAATATAATATGTGAAAGAAACAATTCACACAAAAAAACTCATTTCATTCAAATATGGCTGCAGATCATATAAAATGTCCAGAATGGGCAAATCTATAGGGACAGATTAGATTAGATTAGTGGCTGTCTAGCCCTGGCAGATGATAGGGGATTGGCTAAGTGATTCCAAGGAGGTTTTGTGTGTGTGTGTATGTGTGTGTGTGTGTGTGTGTGTGTGTGTGTGTGGTGGATGGTAGGAGGGAGGGCGTTAATGAAAATGTTCTAAAATTGTGTTAATGGTTGCACATTTTTGTGAATATATTGTACTAAAAGTCAATGAATAGTATACTTTATATGGGCAAATTTTAGGTTTGTGAAAAATATCAATCAAGTTGTTCAAACATTAAAAATAAATAAATTATTAAAATGAAAAAGCCAAGAGAAATAGAAAACTACACCATACCAATTCAAAAAAAATCTGGAGTGACTATTAATTTAAAAAAAAAGACTTTAGAAACAAGGAAAATTATCAGTGACAAAGAGGAGCATTATATAATGATAAAGAGGTCAATTCTCCAAGAAGACATAACAATCCTTAATGTGTATGCACCTAAAAATGAGTATCAAAACACATGAGACAAAACCTAATAGGAAGGCAAAAGATATAAATAAATCCACTAATATATTTGGATACTTCAACACCTCTCTTTCACTAGTTGACAGTTCAAGCCAACAGAAAATCAGTAAGGATATAATTGTCCTGAACAGTACTATCAACTTGATCTAATTGACATCTAGCAAACAGTCCACCCAACAACAGCAGAATACACATTTTTCTCAAGGTCACATGGAATGTTCACCAAGATATACCACATTCTGGGCCATAAAGGGCATATTAATAAATTTAGAAGAATTGAAATTCTGTTCACTTTTTCAGGCTGCTATCACAAAATACCACAAACTGGGTGGCCTAACAGGAAATAAATATATTGTCTCCATTTTGGGGGCAAGAAGTCCAAAATCAAGGTATTGGCAGGAACATGTTCCCCTTGAAAACCTGTAAGGGAGAATATTACCTGTCTATTTCTAGCTTCTGCTGATGGCTGTCACTCTTTGGCATTCTTGGCTTACAGATGCATCATTCCAGTCTCTGCCTGTATAATAAACATAGGTTCTTCCTGTGTGTCTTTACATTTTTTCTCATAAAGACTCCAGTCAATTTGGCTTAAGACTCTGTTTTCACGTCAGTCTCAGCCTATGGATAGTGATGGTATTGGCTAGGAATGACTAGGGGCACTCACCTGGGCTCTTATTACTTGTGGCCAGCCCCCACAACGTGCCCCTCCACTCCCCCACCCCAGACATTTCCCCAACCAGAGCCAGTGTTGTGGCTGGACTGGACCTTACGGATCTTACTGTGATTGTAAGATGCATCTCAGCAACAACCATCAGGGAACTCTGATGAGACAAGGTTTATTACTCACAAGTCCTGGAAGATAGGTGCATGGCAAGTCCAAAGGCCACACAGAGAGGTCCAAGGTAGAGAGACAAAGCACAAACCTTGAGTTCTGCCTTTATTGAGGTCAAGGGTGGGGTGTCTTGGGTTTTGTGGGTTCACTTTTTTGGTGAATTTTAAAAGTTGGGAATTAGGGTACAGGAAGGAAAAACTATAGTCACCCAAACAGTTAGTTGTCTGGATTATCCAGGCCTTTCTAAAAGGAGAAGTTTATAGATGGGGGAGGGCTGCTTAACTAGTTGTTTAGCAAGTAGCTGTGTCATCCAGCTGATAATATGTTCATTCAAGATGGTTGTCTTTGGAATGGATGTTCCACCAACACAAGCTTAAAACATGCATTTATATTACAATAAAAACACTTATTGCCAGGCACTAGCTCTACAGACCCACCCTATTGATCTCACCCTACCTCAATTACATCTGCAAAGACCCTATCTCCAAGTAAGTTCATATTCACAGGTTGGAGTGGTGGTGGTTTATAGATGCATATATGTTTGAGGGGGGGATACAACTCAATCTATAACACAAATCATACAAACTATGTTCTCAGGCCACAGTGGAATTAAACTAGAAATCAGTAACAGAAAAATAGCTGGAAAAATCCCAAAATATTTGGAAATTAAACACACACTTCTAAATAATACATGGATCAAAGAAAAAGTCTCAAGGAAAATTTAAAAACATTTTAAATTAAATGAAAATACAACTTTTCTAACCTTGTGGGATGCAGTGAAAGCAATGCTTAGACAAGAATGCCTAGCACTAAGTGCATATTTTAGAAAAGAAGTAAAATCCAAAATCAACAATCTAAAGTTCCACCTTAGGCAATGAGACAAAGGAGAGCAATTTAAGCTTAAAGAGAGCAATAGGACAGAAATAATACATGCTATATATTATATTATACAAATTATAATATATAATGCATACACATATATACACATTACTGAACTTGAAGTAGGGAAAATTTCGGTGTCCTCCTGAGCCCCTCCAGCTCCCTAAAGTAAACAAAACTGATTCTTCAAAAGGCAATTAAGAACAAAAGGAAGGATTAACCTGAGAAAATGCCCATAAAAGAACTGTGCTCAGAAAACAAGGCTTAGATCAACAGTATCATGATAGAGCTGAGCCTGACATCCTTGCTCCCAGCTACTAGGTTCACTGAAAAAAGCCCATGTAGTTCTAAATTAGTAGTGCCCATGGCTCCGAGCAGAATCAAACACAAATCTTTTTCTGACAAAAATATCAGTCCACCAGAATTTAGTCCACCAGATTTCTGGATTTTGATCAAGAATGTGTGAGTTTATTATCAAAAATGACCAGGCATAAAGGAAGCAAGCCACAGTGAGTGAGAAATCAAAAGAAATAATATTTAGAACCCTGTACGGTAAACGAAGGCAGCCTG